CATTTGCATTTTGATTCTTAATTGAGGATAAACGTGGATGTCTATAGGCCACAGCATCCATTTATCATCAGGTGGACTGTGTGCTCGTTTGTGACTCAATGGTATAAAAAATCCGAATGCGAATACAAATCATAATTAAATTTAACAATCGATAACTGCAAACATCTATAAAAAGAATGTGTCACGAAATTATGACAGTGTAACACTTGTAAATGTGTTTTTTTTTTCCTTCTAGAAATTAAAAATGAACTTTTTTTTTTAAATTAAAAATTAATTAATTTAATAATGAATATTATAATATACAAAATTATTTTGTTTTAATTTTCGTGACCACTCCTAGCATAAACGCTGGCCTCACCTGACATCAAAGGCGTTACACAACTGTAAGGTCTTAAAACTTTGCCATTAGACTACAGTTGCTTTACCTTCTTCTACTTTTAAAATAGTAGCAAAAAATTTCTTAAATATAATTATAAAGCTGTCATTTAGTTTAAGTTCAGAATTCACTGCTAAACATAGGCCTCCCACTATAAATTTCATCATAGGAAGAATATTTGCATTAAATGCCTCGCTTGCAAAGTGGGAGGTAAACCGTAGTTTTTACCAATTTAAGTGGTTATCAAGAAGATGCTGCTAATCAGCTCCTGTTTCATTCCTCTATGTCACCTCTTTCGAAATCCACGGGGTTATATGGGACAGTGGACATTCTTACATCGCTACTACACAATGAACTAACTTTTGGTGTTTTAGGCATTCTACTTGATTAACTGGATTACTAAAAGAGATACCTAAGTAGAAGGTAGACACTTACATGAAAAATCAAGGTGGTAAAATGCATGAATAATTCATTCGAATTGCAGTTTAAAGTGCTTACTGTCTAGTCTTCGGAGGGGTGCGAAAGTAAACAGTGAGCGAAACGAGGCGAAAAATTTCTGTTGCAGCCTGCGCTTATATTAAAGTGTCGCTCTTGAGCAGGTAAACAGATTTAGCAGTCTGTAATATACGTTGACGCATATATTAATTAGTTCAAAATAGTTTATTACTACTAGAAATTGCAGTCGTTAATGGATATATTTTATATGATAATTATTTTAACTTTAACACAGAAAGTGTGATGGCCCAGTAAACGTAATCGTTCTTTCTTTCTGTCATACATGGAGTCCTAGTACGGACACCAGTCTCTCACAAATTAATTGTAACATATTAATATTAAGTTGTGTTTAGATTTATTATAAAATTTGTGAGAGGAAAGAATAAACTTATTATTATTATTATTATTGGGGTATCTGTATAGTTCTCTCATCTGGTTGGTTTCTAAAAATATATAATTATAAGTTAAAATGAAAAGATAAATATACATAAATATAAATAATATAAAATAAATACAAAAAATAAACTAATAAATAAAGATCCAACCAGATGGAAGCCCTCGGCAGGGGAGACCAAACGGCCGAGGGTTAGGGGGAAAGGGAACGAAACCGAGGGACGATGCGGGCGGTATCGAGGAGCACTGCCTTCTGCATTTGAGCCCGGAGCGTTCTGTCACGGAGTCCCAGTCGCCTCAGATGACCCGAGAGGCTGACTGGGATTAGGCCATTCGCAATAGGCAATACGGCAATTTCCGGTCCACGAGACCGTATTTCAGAGCGAGCTCCTGGTGTAGGATTCTGGCTACTAGGTTTTGCCTGTGCAAGTACTCAGAGTTAGAAAGCGCCGAACAACCGGAGATGACATGCCTAAGTGACTCCCCGGGATGGCGACAAGCTCGACAGACGCCGACGGTCCTTTAGGATGTATCTCCGATAGTTGTTGGTCTTAATAACCCGATCCTATATTGCACATACAAAACTCTCGGTTTCCCCGAAGAGGTCACCGAAACGTAGCCAGTTGAGGGAGGCGACTGTATCTACGAAGTGCTCATGTAGAGCCCTGTAGTACCTCCCGTGGAGCTCCTTCTCCTTCCATACGGTCTCCTGGTCGGAAATGCTAAGAACTGCTGGGTCCTGCCATTGCTTGTTGGCCAAGGATAGAGGGGTAAGCCCTTTATCACTAGAAATGACGTCATTATAGAATGGATCATCCGATCTCGCCAGGAAGTAATGACGGAGGCTGCACACTTCACGATTATGCATAGTGAGCGCGCTCAGAAAGCCATTATTATTATTATTATTGGGGTATCTATATAGTTTTCTCATCTGGTTGGGATGCATAAATATATAATTATAAATGACAATGAAAGGATAAATATACATAAATATCAATAAAATAAAATAAATACAAAAATACATAAATAAATATAAGCCCAACCAGATGGAAGCCCTCCGCAGGGGAGACCAAACGGCCAAGGGTTAGGGAGAAAGGGAAAGAAACCGACAGACGATGCGGGCAGTATCAAGGAGCACCGCCTTCTGCATTTGAGCCCGGAGCGGTCCGTCACGGAGTCCCAGTCGCCTCAGATGACCAGAGAGGCTAACTGGGATTAGCCCATTCGCAGAGACGACTACAGGAATAATTTCGGCCGGCAGACCACCCCACATGTCGGTCACCTCGTGAGCCAGGTCCAGATATTTTTATTGCTTATCTGTTTCGGCTCTCACGAGGTTCTCGTCATACGGGATGGTAACATCGACCAAAAATATCCTTGAATGTGCCCGGTCCCTCAGCACAATATCAGGCTTATTCGCAAGAATAGTCCTGACTGTGATGATGGCCCGGTCCCAGTAGAGCCTGGCGCGGTCATTTTCGAGCAGGGCTTCCGGCAAGTACTTGTAATACGGCAATTTCCGGTCCACGAGACCGTATTTCAGAGCGAGCTCCTGGTGTAGAATTCTGGCTACTAGGTTTTGCCTGTGCAAGTACTCAGAGTTAGAAAGCGCCGAACAACCGGAAATGATATGCCTAAGTGACTCCCCGGGATGGCGACAAGCTCGAAAGACGTCGACGGTGCCATCCTTTAGGATGTATCTCCGATAGTTGTTGGTCTTAATAACCTGATCCTGTATTGCACAGACAAAACCCTCGGTTTCCCCGAAGAGGTCACCGAAACGTAGCCAGTTGAGGGAGGCAACTGTATCTACGAAGGGCTCATGTAGAGTCTTGTAGTACCTCCCGTGGAGCTCCTTCTCCTTCCATACGGTCTCCCGGTCGGAATTGCTAAGCACTGCTGGGTCCTGCCTTTGCTCGTTGGCTAAGGATAGAGGAGTAAGCCCTTTATCACTAGAAATGACGTCATTATAGAATGGATCATCCGATCTCGCCAAGAAGTACTGACGGAGACTGCACACTTCGCGATTATGCATGGTGAGCGCGCTCAGAATGCCACGCCCACCATACTTTTGCGCGGCAAGTACAGCCTCATTACCGACGATCTCGGATGATGCATCCTATGGGACGTCATGGTAGTGCGGACTTTTCTATCCAGGGCGTTAAGCTCAGTCTGAGTCCACCTGAGTATGCCAAAGGAATACATGAGGACAGGCATGACCCAGCCGTTATATGCGTGTGTCTTATTCACACCGGACAAAAGGCTGTTAAGCACTTTGGTCAAGCGTGCATAAAACACGTCGCAAACTGACTGTTTCATACCAGCCTCATCGATACCGATGTTCTGTGACATACCCAGGTATCGGTATGTTTCAGCCTCGGAAAGGGTCCTTAAGTTAACGGGCATAGACAAGTCTATGCCCTCAGAGTTAGCAACCCTTCCCCTTTCAACATGGAGGACCACACACTTATCCGTCCCCAGCTCCATTCCAATGGAACTGCTAAATTCACAGGTGATGTTTGGCAGTTCCATAAGATGGGAGCGACTGGAGGCGAATAACTTGAGGTCATCGATATAGAAAAGGTGGGTCACTTTTGTCCCTCCTTTCCGTAGCTGAAATCCCCTCCCGGAGCCCTCCAGTAAGTTACTGAGAGGGTTAAGAGAGAGGCAGAACCAGATTGGACTCAGACAATCGCCCCGGAAGATACCCCTTCTTATCCTTATGTGGTTCTCCGCAGCCGTCATCCACTCGCCCAGATGACAAAGGATCGTACTCCACTGCCCCATACACTGCTCGAGGAAGTCTCTAACTGTACAGTCAATCTTGTACAGCTCGAGGACCCTCTTTAGCCATGTATGGGGCACCGAGTCGAACGCCTTTCTGTAGTCTATCCAGGCGGCAGAGAAGTTCCGACGGTTGCGTTTCACCACTTTGCCTATGACCGCGTCAATGAGGAGTGGTTACTTAGTTCCAGGAATACCGCCCCGATATCCATTTTGAGCGCGTGACATCACCTGGTTTAGCTCCAGATGACGTGTGATTCTCGCGCTCAAAATGGATGTCACTGTCTTATATATGGTGGGTAGACACGTGATGGGGCGGTATTTGCTCGGGTCTGTGGTATCCTGATCTTTAGGAACCAAGTGAGTGATCCCAGTAGTGAAGAGGCTCGGGAGTGACTTCTGGTCGAGAGCCTCTTGAAACTGTCCGGCGAGCACAGCGTGACACACTACGAACCCCTTCAGCCAGTAATGATGCAGCCCGTCGAGCCCCGGATTTTTCCAGTTCGGGGCCCTACGGACCGCCTCAGCCACGTCTTCTGGCGTTACGGTGATGGGGTCCATAGGCGTAACACTCGCACCCTGGCTCGCCACAACTTCCATCCAAGGGCCCTCACTGTGGTTTACGGGCTCTGACCACAGGCCACGCCAGAATGCGATAATGTCAGCCTGATCCGGTCCTTGGCCCGCTCCACATACCTTTGGTCGCTCCAATAATTTATAGAGCCTCTTCTGATCACTCTGGACTCTGGACGATTCTGGTTGAACCGCCTTGACCCCTCGGAAAATCGTCGAATCCGCTTCCCCCAAGCAGCTATCTTTTGCTTCAGGTCTTCTATGCGCTCCGTTAGTTTTTGCGTGATATCCGGCTGGGACAAACTGAATTTTGTCCCAGCAAACGCCTTCCTAACGGTGCGCACAATCCTCGGTCTATTATTACCCGACCTGAAGCTTGTCAGTCTGCCGATAAGGGCCCTTGCCTTTGCGATACGGTCCTCGATTCTTTTCCTCCAGGCTGGGATGGCGTTAGTTTGTGTAGTAGCTCGTCCAGCCGTGTGAAGTTTGGCGCCAATAATACGGCAAACTGCCACTGCGGCGCCAAAGAGAATCGAGTCCGTCTCGCAAGGTCCCGGCTGGCTTCCAAATAGGTCACCAGCATTGGGTTAAGAGCCCTCACGACAGCCCGATTTCGCTTGTTTTTGGGTATGCGGGGAAGTCGCGGTCGATTTTCGAGAGGGGTGCTGCGCGTTTCCAAAATCGCCTCTTCCAATATACTCCTCATTTGTTCTAGTTCGTGGGAGACTATTTCATCGTCCTTCGAATCAACCACAACTGGAAGATCCATGGCGGCTTCCACGTGTGGATGCTGGTCTGTCGAATGTGGAGCTGCATCTCCAGCCATAGCCGATTCATTCGACGACGGAATAGCCTCACGTCGTAGTCGTTCGAGTTCGGCATCATCAAATATTTTCGAGCGCATGATGTACCGAACTCGGTCTGCCAGGTTTTGTTCCGTGACGGGGATAGACGGCTCCAGCTCAGCAAAAAAGCAATGCATCCGAGAACTATACGCTATTCCCACAGTTTCTTCCACTTTCGTCCTATAGTACGCCCGCAATGCGTTTCCGTTCATGGATTTTGTCCAACGCATGCGACGTGCTCCACCAGCGGCGGGTGCCGCTTGCTGGGTCCGAGAAGACCCAGCCGACACCAAGCCTTCTGGTGGGGATGATGGATGCGAGGGGCTGCTAGGTGATCGTGCAGCTCCTCGCACTCGGCTGGCGGCCCGCATGCTGCCGCGTCCAGCGCCATCTCCAGACGCGCCCCGGCGACCCCCGGGCAGCGGCCCTATGCGCGTTCCTTTTTGTGTTTTATCCATCATCCATTTTATTGGCGCCAAATAACGGGAGACGCCCAAGCCCGGTACCGTTTCGTGGTTGGGTCATATGCACAAACGGACCTTTGCATCTACAATTTTGCCTAGGCATGGCGCTCACACCTCTTGGCAGAATGCTGACTGACTGCGCCGACGTCGCAGTTTTGTCACATAACTGTTACGTCAGCGGGCGATGGGGTCGTCACTTCCCTACGTGTGTTACTTAATCAAACTTATGCTTAACGTACTTCCCAAGACATGGGAATGAAACTGCGCTGACTTTCTGAATTCGGGCCGCTATTGAGAATTTCTTGACAAGAACCCCACTAACTGTTTTGTTTTGTCCGACTCGTAATTCGAGGCTGCGGTACCTCCGACAAGCAGTGGGGTTTATCACAGCTAGACCAACAACGTGAAACAAAGCAAAGTCGAAGATGTTGCTGATTTTAAATTTGACATATTTAAAACTAGTAAATAAAAAAACTGTTTTCATGAAATACTTCATCACATCACTAACAAACCACGATCTTCTGTTTATGTCGAAACAATACGTTTTATTCAAATGAATTCGGAAATATGGTCAATAGCAATACTATTTACTATACAATGATTGAAGTGGAATTAGAGAGTTAAATGGTGTTATACGTGTGCACATTCTTTCAGTGTTTTTAAATAATATTGTTACGCGCTCAAGTCGACGGCACTAGCGCCATCTAGTCTCGAACCGAAGAACTAAACTTCTTGAAGTTGAAACACGAACTCTCGGTACCTTGCGCGTGTTTACTTGAATATTCTGGATATTTCGCTGCTAATTTATATAAATAGGCGCTGCAAGATGCGATCAGGGAAGTAAGAAGTAAGTAAGAAGTTGGCGAGACAAGCGAAGCTTCGGAGCGAAATAAAGTGAATCAGTGTGATTAATTATTAGTGTTTTTAACTTTAATTAGTGTAAAGTGAATTAAAGTGTTAATTTAGGTAATTCTATCGGCAATTTTTATTGTCACGAACCTCAAGCTCGTTACAATATGTAGAATTTAATTACAAGCAACAAGAACTTCCTTTGTTTGAAGTTAGCTCCAGGTGTCCCTGAAGTAGCGAAGTAGCGGTAGCCCTTTAGGCTAAATCTAGATAATTTCAGTTTAACAGTCTAAAAGCTCCATGGCGCAGTGGCTTGGTATTAATTTGAGTTGCTGTATCCCCTTGGCTGTCCAAACGCCATATTCTGGCGTCTCAGATAATATGCGCATCTGTCAAACGCCATAATATGGCGTCGAGTCATAGCAAACTATTTGTAACATATATATGATATATATAACATACATATATATAACGTATCTGCATAATTGATTGTTTCTAAAGGGGGATGCCCATTTTCGGCCATGGAACGCCAAACAATTTGCATTTGTTTAAAAAAATCTATATTTATGGTTATTAATCGCGGTATTCATTTATCTTAAAAAGATGGGAACATTTTGACACAAAAAAGTACCGAAAAGATAAAAATAAAATTAGCTTAATACGTAATTTATTAGTTAGTGAATAATATAAAAAAAGTTGCCACATCACAAATCTCGTTAAAAAATCGATTTCATTTTTTCGATCGGTTACTTATGGTGTCATTATTACAATGCTAATATAATTTTTCGATAATTATTATTATGTTATGATATAAGTGTAAAGTAACCGTTTACAATGAATATTTATCCAACGCAGCCGATACGCAACCGTTGTCAACCACTTGTTTATCCGACTACAGAAGAAAAAGGATGTTTATGTTTTTACTGTGCGGGTGGCTAAACTGAATCGTTTTTTGCTATGGTGTATATGGTGTATGGTGAAATATGTTTTTTCGCTAAACTCGTAAAGTACTTGACCGATTTTGAAAATTATTTCACCACTAGATTGTTATGTATAATTATAGATGTCTAATGTAAAATGCATTTTATTATAGGGAGCGCTACTTTCAAATGTATTTGTTTTTTTTTGGCTAATCTCGAAAATTACTAGACCGATTATTATTATACCATTACATTGCTAATGAGATAAAATTATATAATTATAATAATCAATTGTGAGATTAATATTTTCTAAATAAATAAAACTAAATACCTACCTAAGGTGTTCAACTCACTAATATTTATTTTCAACTAATTATTATTTTTACAATTTAAGAATCGTATTTACACACTTTACCTAATCAGATTGATTGTTATAGATATAGGTAATAAATCTAAAGTAAAAGAGCTCCGCTTAAACGATAAAACTATTTATTAAAATAAAACAAAAAGTTGAAAAAAAGTGGCTCAGTGCGAATCGGAGTCGCAGGCCCATGAAGAGTTCTGTAGTAAAAAGCATAGATTTTACATCGAGTCAAAATACCACTATCATTATCGCTAGCAACAAATAATTTTGTGTTTCAGTGCTTGTATAAATGACAAAGTTGTATTTGCGGTTCTTGAAAATGTACTACTTGTATTTAAAAAAAAGCACTATTACACATTATAGGGGTTTTCTGTGGTTTGTTCCAAAAAGAAAAAACTTATTGCACAAAAAATCGATTTTTGTCAATTTCAAGTCATCAAAAGCGGTTATCAACAGTTGAAAACAAAAACAACCGTTGTTATCGGTTATGATAATTAAAAAAGAGAATTATTAACTGATTTACCATGATTTCTTTAGAGTCTATCAAAACACTACTGCACAATTTAACTGTTATTCTTATCTGTTCTTAACATTACATTTAAAATGGAATCATGTTATGGTAATAATTAAAGAAGTTAACTAACTGATTTACCGTGAATAGAGCATAACAAAACAATACTGCACAAGTTAAATGTTCTTAAAAATACAACTGTTCTTAAAAATAAATTCAATAAATAAAGGAAAATATATTTTAAAAAGCGTACAAAACTTAAAGCGCGTAAAAGATTATTCTTTTGTATGAATTTATTAATCGAATAAAAATCGATATCGTTTCATAGATTTTATGACAGCTAAGTGGCAACATCAAATCTGACAGCTAGGCCCCTGTGAAGTCACAAGACGAATTCGTTTTCGTGTTATTTATGGAGTGTCAAAGTAGTTATTTTGAATGTTTTGTTTTGATGGAAATTGAATTGTTGATCTCTCAACAATTAGTTCGAACACAGCAGGTAAATAGTAGGTACATGTCACGAAGTGTCATGTCTTCTTCTGAGAAATGCTTTTTAACTGAGTTTACTTAAATAATATCAATATAATAATTATAGCTTCTTTATTAGGTACAAGTTTCGATCGACAGTGTACGTGTAGTGTGCCACTCGCAAAATGCACCAATAGTTCGTCATGAACATTATGCATCAGCTGTGGCAAGTCACTTATGAGAATAAGATCACACACATTGTTTGGGTTCGATTCTCCACATGAGGAACTTATAAAAAATGAGATTTCCAATCAAATTGGACCACGTGAGGTAAGTGTTTAACATTTTTCAATTTATTGAGCGTGGTGCTCATATATGATAGTTATAAATGTTTTTGCACTGATTGCATATCAACTCAAGAACTTGTTATATTTTTTCACATCTGCGTAAGCTATATATGACAAACATACTAACTTATTTACGAGATTGACAATTTTTATCAACTACCAAGAAATGAGACAATTGATTTTTCATTGTTTTTGGACTGCTGGTAGTCTGGCAGGCATAATTATTAAATAATATAAAGCATTAAGTCCGTCTTTGTGCAGTAACATTTAACTTGATAAATATTTTATTTATATTTGAGTTTAAAATAAACAAATCTATTTTATTTTTATTTATTTTTCACTTTGACTTTATTTTTTGTATTTAACATTATTTCAGTTGTCATCGTCATCTCGTGTGTATCATAATTGCTGGTAAAGGACTGATAGAACAGCACCACATTCAACTGCAGAACGGGAACCATCCGAATCATGTAGTCCGTCCTCATAGCATTTTGAAGTGAGTAATGTATTGCACCCAGAACAATAAAGCTTAGATCATACATCACACAGTATACTGCTAACTAATTATATAAAAGCATCACTAATACCAAATCAATGTTTTTACAAGGTTGTAAACAAATAATAACTGCGGTAGTCAACATGACTTTCTTATTTACCTCAAGGAGGTCGTTACGTCAAGTATCTAGATCAGTGGTTCCAAAATTGACTGGGCTACGATCCACCTAACAAAAACTGTCAAATGTGTCCTGTGACCTCTTAAAAAAGAGACATAAAATATTGGTGACACTCAGATTCCCTAGTAGCGAGTGGCGGAGCTACTTAATGGTGTTTTATTTGTTCGGGCTGTTTATTTTGTTTGTTTTAAAGTATTTTTTTATTTGAAATTAATTTATTATCATCGCAGATGATATATTGTACTTTAGCTCACAAACAGTTACTACGGAAATTTAAGCGTCACCAATGTGAACGAAGGACTTTGCATAAGAAAAATAATAAATACGTGTGGCACTCGGTGACTGCCGCGGTAAAGCTATTGCATAGCATTTTTTATCAACTTATGCAATTATAATTATTTATTTATTTATTTTATTTATGCAGTTAAGTCTTTGATATTAAATCAAGTTACACTTTTTGAGCGTGGTGACCGATAAGAAAACAATTTTTTTTCTCTTATTAAATAAATGAGAAGTTAATATTGTTTAGAATATTTTTAATATCTTACAATACATGTAGGTTATTCAGGAATTTTTATCATTGAGTTACACGCATACGTCTATTCGCACAAACACCGTGCCGAACTCTGCCGAGTGCCATAATCTGCCGTACTATAACGACGTTAGTCGATGCACGGCTTTCAACGCCACACCTCCGTGCCCGTCGGAGTGGGGAGCGTGAGGTTTTTTTTCGTTACGGAATTTCTGGATTCGGTCCCCGCGCTCAAGGCCCGCGATAGAAGCTATGCAATAGCTTAACAACATTAAGTTAGAACTTTTTATTACTTAAAAACTTATTTCAATGAAAATGGTGTATTTGTT